CAAAAAAAAAAAAAAAAGAAGAACAAGACAGCTAAAAGTTACTCTCAAAACCATGCCAGCCAACATCCTCCCTTAGAGCAGAGGAAAGAGATGCCAGGAAGCCAGGCGTGCCCAAGCTGAGGCCCTCTGCCCGTAAGAGAACCTCAGGAACATAGGCCACCTGGGTACTAGGTCACTGTTTTACTTACTACAGTCATTTTCACTCCTTAACTGAGGACAATTGTTAGAAAGTAAAATAAGAAAATGCATTCCTTTACCTTCTTAAATCAGGAAATAATGCTTAGGAATGACTGTCAATCATGTCAGACCAACAGGAAGCTGCCGCCAGCCTCATCCTTCTACTCCCTTCTCCGTGACTCGTATTGGCCTCTGACATTGCTTACTATCTGTCATAACTGGACGCTGGCTCCTTGATGACATGGATTTTTCTCTGTTTTGTTTACTGCCATATTCCCAGCACCTAGCACAGTGCCTGGCATTTATTAAGTCTTCAAAAACTACTTGAACCAGGCATGGTGACACATGCCTGTAGTCTCTGCTGTTTGGGAGGCTGAAGCAGGAGGATCACTTGAACCCAGGAGTTGGAGTGGGCTACAGTGGGCTATGACTGCACCACTGCACTCCAGCCTAGGTGGCACAGTGAGACCCTCTTCCAAAAAACAATAGTAATAACATGTTTTAAAAATAAACTACCTGGGCCAAGCATGGTGGCTCATGCCTGTGGTCCCAACACTTTGGGAGGCTGAGGTGACTGGATCACCTGTGGTCAGGAGTTCAAGACCAGCTTGACCAACATGGAAAACCCGTCTCTACTAAAAATACAAAAAATTAGCTGGGCATGGTGGCACGTGCCTGTAGTCCCAACTACTCAGAAGGCTGAGGCAGAAAGATCACTTAAGCCAGGAAGGCAGAGATTGCAGTGAACGAAGATCGCGCCCCTGCACTCCAGCCTGGGCAACAGAAAGAGAGTCTGTCTCAATCAATCAATCAATCAACTACCTGTTTGATGGCTGAATAAATGCAGAGTCCCTGACTTATGATGGTTTAACTTATGATTTTTCAACATTTTGAAAGTGTAAAACTATTGCAATTTTTACATAATGTGCAGTATTAAATAAAATACATAGATATTTAAACTTCACTATGAAATAGGCTTTGTATTAGATGATTTTGCCCAACCATAAGCTTATGTAAGTGTTCTGAGCACATTTAAGTAGGCAAGGCTAAGCTAGGCTGGTCAGCAGGTTAGGTATATTTAGTGCATTTTTGACTTACAGTATCAGGACATACCCATATAGTAAGTTAAGAAGCATCTGTAAATGCCTGCAGCCCCTTTTAAGGAGAACCACCCTGCAGACGTGACAGCCCTTGGCATCCTAACTGTACCACAGGACTGCCAGGCCACAGCCAACTCAACTAACAAACCATATGCTAACCACAGGTTTACAAAGCAGTCCAGCAGGGAGAGCTGTGCTCACACAGAAAAGGAGGAGACCGAGAGAGACTGCAGTCCTCGGGGATCCAAGTGGGAAAACACAGTACAACCATACTATAAGGGATAGGTGCTAGAGAACTTTATAGAAGTAGAAACTCAAATAATTCAACAGAAATCCTGGCAAAGCATGAAGCGTATTTCTATTGAATGCTGAAGTCAAAGCATCTCATAGAAATACCATGAATAGTCAGTAATTCACACAGCAGTCAACCTTGAAAATGACGCATGAAAATGGGCCACATTCACCTCCTCACACATCTGCATGAGAGCTCTTCAGTGACCAGGAGCACTGTCTTCAGTGGCCATCAGCACTGATTGTTTGTTGTTTGTTTGAGAGACAGGGTCTCACTGCTACATTGCCTAGGACGGACTTGAACTCCCAGACCCAAGTCATCGTCCCACTTCAGCCTCCCAAGTAGCTGGGACTGTGGACACAGGCCACCGACACCCAGCTCACCAGCAATATTTTGAAAGAAATCTTTTTTTCTAGGCATAGACCTCAACCGTAAGCTTAAAATATTCAGTAAGCCATACTATAGACAGATGTGCTGTCATTCAGGCTTTCTTGCTCCATTTGTAGAGCAGATAGCATAGAGCCAGCATAATCTCTAAGGGTCATAGGACTCTTGGAATGGTAAAGGAGTACTGGCTTCAACTTAAAAGTCACCAGCTGCATTAGTCCCTAACAAGAAAGCCACTCTGTCCTTTAAAGCTTTAGTCCTTTAAAGACACCAACTTCTCCTAGTTTTTATTTATTTATTGAGATGGACATTCAGATACATACCTGTCCTTCTTCCAATGTTAATGGTTTTATTTCTATATCTTGACTTATGCTGCTGTAGAAGTTATTCATGGCACTATGTAATTTTTGATAGTCGACATCATGATCTAAAAAGGGACTACACCCTTTTATAATAACCCAGAAGCAACCCGGATCTTCAATCTGTAAAAATTTAAAAAAGACAAACAGAACAATGCATGATTTAAAAGCAGTACCACAAAATAACAAACTTTAGAGCCACGATTACTGTTTCTTATTTAAGTGACCTAACAAATTCTTGACAAATGCTTTTGCTTAAATTGTTAGACCAAAGATAAAATTCTAAAACATGTAATTCTCAATTATGTGGCATGACTCAAAAAACAAACACATGTCCTCAATCTCCCGTATTCTGAAAAAATCCGTAATATACAAAGCAAGGTTCAGAGCAATGTTTTTAGTACTTTTGTTTGTTAACGTTTTTAATTAAACAACAAAAAAAAATAGAGACGGTGTCTCCCTATGTTTCCCAGGCTAGTCTCAAACTTTGGGGCTCAAGCAATTTTCCCATCCTGGCCTCCCTAAGTGCTGAAGAGTATAGGCATGAGCCACTGTGCCTGACCTGTATCCTTCTCTTGTAAGACAGAGAAAGAAATTTGAATATAAGTACACTCTGCTCATAATAAAAAAGAGAAATAATGGTAGATAAACCAAAAGAAATGCAAATCATGACCTAAGGGACGGGACGAAATGGACAAGGGACACGGACGAAAGTCAGACTTCCTGGAATGTATTTTGTTTTGTACTACTGTTATTAGAAACCAAGATTTTCATTGTTAAAGACACAAGTATAAAATGAAAAGTTCAATTTGAATTGAAAATATCAAAAGGTCTCGCTCTGTCATCCAGGCTGGAGGGCAGTGGCGTAATCTCTGCTCACTACAACCTCCACCTTGCAGGTTCAAGCAATTCTCCTGCCTGAGCCTCCCAAGCAGCTGGGATTATAGGCCTATGCCACTGTGCCTGGCTTATTTTGTATTTTTTTAGTAGAGACAGGGTTTCATTCACTGTGTTGGCCAGGCTGGTCTCAAACTTCTGATCTCAGGTGACCCACCCATCTCAGCCTCCCAAAGTGTTGGGATTACAGGCGTGAGTCACCACGCCCGGCCAAGAACTCATGATTTTTCAAAAGTATTACCTAACTCTGCCTAGAAGCAATGATGTCTCAAGATTTGGGATCCTAAATCCAATGTGGCAAGAATACAGGTATTCACATTAGTATTATTTCTACTTTTCCGAATGTTTGAACATTTTTATAACAAATAATCAGAAAAAGGAACAGCAGTTATTCTGGTTCCAGTAACAATAGAATAGTTTCTATATCACCTGTGGGTAACAACAATAATCCCTGGAAAAAATACAAAATAACGATTTGAAGGCAGTGAAGAGCTACCAAAAGCCAGCAGAACCTGGAGGAGCTTCAACGCCTGAAAGAAGGAAACTTCCCTGGGTGAGATCTACTTTTATATGGGTTTTCCCCTGCGCCCATTCCCCAGTTCACATAGTGTGAAGCAGCTGCAATTCAAGGAGAAAGTTGTAATGTCTGTGGCTTGAGGAATCAGGAAACAGAGTTTGGGGCTGCCAGGGCAGCTGAGAATTAAAGGGTAAAATTCCTAAATGGAGAGCCACAGAGGGGAAGCACTAAAGTCTGCATGAGAACACCTGTCACATTATTGGCAGAGATGAGACCCCAAGGAGTCCACAGAAGACCGACAGTGGGAAGGCTGAAATAAGCAGTTTTAGCTGGGCGCAGTGGCTCACGCCTGTAATCCCAGCACTTTGGGAGGCTGAGCCAAGCAGATCATTTGAGGTCAGGAGTTTGAGACCAGCCTGGCCAACATGGTGAAACCCTGTCTCTACTAAAAATACAAAAATTAGCTGGGAGGGGTGGCGCATGCCTGTAATCCCAGCTACTGGTGAGGCTGAGGAAGGAGAATTGTTTGAACCCAGGAGGTGGAGGTTGCAGTGAGCCAAATCATGTCATTGTCCTCCAGCCTGGGCAACAGAATGAAACTGTGTCTCCAAAAAGTACGCAGTTTCAGCTGCTGCTCGTGAGAAATGCAGAATCCTGGACATAGGGCAACTCCATCCAAACCTCTGCACTTGGAGAAAACCAAACTCTAGCGTGGCTTCTAGCAGCATAAGGCTTGTCCCTGAGACAACCAGCACCGCATCAAAAGGCCTGCCTGAGCTAGCTCACTGCTGCCAGGAAACTTTATGGTTTGTTCATCAAATACCTGACACAGGTCCCTCACCTCCCCTTCCCGGAGCACGTACTAAAAAATGCTCAAGATTGGAAATGTGTACCTACTGCAACTCATGAGTGTCTTTCTCAAGGATCAGAAAGCTTTCCTTTGAAATGTAATCTTTAGGAAGCGTCTCCCAGTCTCTGTGGGAAGACAGAATCCTAACTTCTATAACTACCAGCTAGCAGACAGAACTGCCTCGCCACATTTACACTGACTCAGGCGGGGCACAGGGGCTCATGCCTGTAATCCCAGCACTTTAAGAGACCGAGGTGGGTGGATCACTTGAGGTCAGGAGTTCAAGACCAGCCTGTCTAGCACAACGAAACGCCATCTCTACAAAAAAAAACACAAAAATTAGCCAGGCGTGGTGGTGCCGCCTGTGGTTCGGCTACTTGGGAGGCTGAGGCAGGAAAATTGCTTGAACCCGGGAGGTGGAGGCTGCAGTGAGTTGAGATCACACCACTGCTCTCCTACCTGGGGGACAGAGTGAGATTCCATTTAAAAAAAAAATACACTGACCCAGTCTTTGTAACTTTTCATCCAAGCCCTCCTCCTGCCCATCCTCCCTTTAAAAGGCCCAGTCACCTGTACACAAATCAGAATAGAGCTCTGTTCTTTGACACTCATCAAGGAAAATGGAATTTGGAGTAGGCGCCTTACTAAGTTACAGAGGCTTAGTAAGCACCTCAGGTGTGAAAAGGGCAGTGCTCAAGAAGACCATGTTCCAGGACAAAGACAATGTGCTCCAACAATCAGGGCAAAACCAAACTGATGTACACAGTGTGTACCTTCCAAAGTGCAACCAGCCAGTCAGTGACTAAACTGCACATCAACACTTGCAGTTTATTCATCATAACCACGACGTCCACTGTAAAATAGACAATTATTAGACACGTGAAGAAATGATCATGTGTTAGATGGCCAAGAAAAAGCAGTCTCCAGAAAGTGAACCCAAGATATCCATATGTTGGAATTAACAGGCGAGGACTTAAAAACAGCTATTATAAATAGAGAACTTAAAGATGAGATGGTTATAGTGAGTTGAAAACAAAAGAATCTCATGTAAGAAATGGAAACTAAATATGTATATAGATATGTATCTATTTATATGTATACAGATATATATACACACAAGCTGTGGAAAAAGTAAATTTCATAAATGAAAAGTAAAAATTTCACTAGGGGTGCACTCACTAACATTGTACTAAAGGTCCCAGTTAGTACACCAGAACAGGAAAAAGACAGGAAGGCTAGAAAGGAAGAAATAAAATTACCTTTATTCATAAAAGCATGACTGTCTACAGAGAATCTTAAAAGAGTCCATTAAAAATTAGAACTATAATGAAAACTATAAAACACTGCTGAAATAAATTAAAGAAGATATAAATGGAAAGACAACTCACATTCGTTGACTGGAAGACTTAATATCATTAGGATGTCAATCCTATCCAAAGCAATCTACACATTCAATTCAATCTCTACCAAAATCCAAATGACATGTTTTTCAGAAATAGAAAAGTCCATTCTAAAATTCACATGAAATCCCAAAGGACCCAAAATAGCCACAACAATCTCAAAAAAGAACAAAGCTGGAGGACTCACACTTGATCTCAAAACTTACAATAAAGTTACAGGAATCAGAACAGTGTGGTACTGTCATAAAGACAGACACACAGACCAACGGAGTAGAATAGAGAGTCCAGAATAAACCCTTGTATCTAGTCAAATGATTTTTGACCAAGGTCCCAAAACCATTCAGGGAAAGGTTCTGTAACAAACGAGTGTTGGGAAAACTAAATATTCACATGCAAAAGAATGAACTTGGAGGCCAGGCACAGTGGCTCACACCTGTAATCCCAGTACTCTGGGAGGCCACGGCAGGTGGATCACCTGAGGTCAGGAGTTCAAGATAAGCCTGGCCAACATAGTGAAACCCTGTCTCTACTGAAAATACAAAATTAGCCGGGTGTGGTGGGGCACGCCTGTAATCCCAGCTACTCAGGAGGCTGAGGCAAGAAAATCACTTGAACCTGGGAGGTGGAGGTTGCAGTGAGCCACGACTGCACCACTGCACTCCAGCCTGGGTGACAGAGAGAGACTCTATCTCAAAAA